TCATTTGACCCTCTAACTCTAGCACTCTCTATTATAATGCTAATTCAAATTTTATCTGCTTGTTTTTTTATTTAAAAACTAGACCCTGTAACATTTGCACTCTCTATTCTATTTTAACTATTTGTTTTATTTAAAATGAAAAAAAGCATATTTAACACTAGCATTCTCTATTCTTTGTCTATTTTTTTCTACGTATTTTCTTTTTTATTTATTATAAATAATGACCTTTTAACACTAGCATTACCTATTCTTCTTCTTCTTCTTGTTTTATTTTTATTTATTATAAAAACAAAAAAAACCTTGCTACATATACCCCACGCCCTGCCCCTGAACCCCACCCCCATTGTCCTCTTTTTGGAAAACTAAAATATGGTCACCCTAACTTATTCAAGCATTTCTTGATCAGTTATCACTTACATTGGTCTCACTATAAATAGAAATGATGTGTAAAACGTGGTCTCAGAATGCTCAAAGCCTTGTTTCTTCTAGTGCGCACTGCTATCTACCGGATAAAACACCTCATGTTGTGTCTCTGTGTCTCTCTCTTTCTTTCTCTCCCTCTGTCGCCCTTCCGCTTCTCCTTTGGCAATAACACTGTGCTGCTCCTTAGAGAATCTGAGTCTGGCCTCGGACGAGTCAGCGATTATTATTCCGCGGGTACCTCTGGAAGAGAACCACTGGTGGAACGACCAGAACCACGTCGAGGAGTAGTCCGGTTCGCTCCGGATGTCAAGTACTGATACAAAGCACACGAGAAAGAGGAAGGCAGCTATAGACAGAACAATGAAGTAATGAGAAATATTTTAGAAAATATTTTTGCAGACAGAAAGAGAGATGTGTTCAATTAAAGTACTGTATGTATATAGGCTGTTGTATGTCATAGGTTAAGATTAAACGATGAGCTTCCCAAGAAGAAAAACATGAACAAAAAGTACATGCGCTCCCAGACTGTTTTCAACAACTGAAATGGTGCTATAAATGTATTTTCTGTTCCATGCTCTTTCTCAAAACATACAGTGTTGCCATGATGATCATTTAGAGTAACAAATGTGTCATTAAGTGCTTCATTAAAGTATAACATACTGTTTAAAAATCTAATAAATGTGAACTAATTAGTGTTTATCTGGTTGTTTTCGTGCCTTCATTGCAATATTCATTAGGAAATATGTTCCTCATTTAGTTTAGTTTTGTTTGTTTTTTATAATAATGAACATTATATTAAAATAGAATTAATTATATACAGCCTTTGTGACAGCTAGCCCCGGTCTCCCTACAATAGTACACTATTTTAGTTTTATAGTTTTTAAAATAATTTTGATTTATTGCTGCTTTCGATGTAGCTGTAAGTAACAGTTTTTTTGTTAGTTTTTTTAACATTAACAAAAAAAACGTGGATCTTGGAAGTATCATACTGTATGTATTTAATTTCAGTTCATTATGACAACAAAAGAAGTCAATGGAAAGTCCTCATCATGATGGACTACGGAGCTGTCATTTCCCATTTTCCAAGTCAGCTGGCTTCATACCAATCGTCTGAATAATTCAAAGTTTAGAGGGAACTTTGGACGGAGATCTAATGAAAAATTAATGGCTTAAGAGGCATTAGCACAAGGATCCATAGTTACTCCTGTCTGCTGTGAACTGTGGGAATCTTTGTTGAACCTGAGAGTTAGAGAGAGCAAGGAAGTCCTGGATTTTTTTTCCTGGTTTCACAGGGCAGATATTACACACAGACAAGGAGAATGTGAGAGGCCAAGACCAGACTTCTGTCAGGACACATTGTAGATGATGATCACCAGCTAACCAGAGCCAAACCAACTAACCTAAGCTGGAATTTTCCACAGGGATAACATTTAAAGGGGTCATATGATGCGATTTCAAGTTTTACAAGCTGATTGTGCATAGATAAGATCCCTGAAGTTGCAAAGACTAAAGTCTCAAAACCAAAGAGATATTCTTTATCAAAGTTAAGACTCTGCCACACCCCCCTAAAACGGCTCGTTCTAACACACCCCCACATATCTACCTCACTATGTGGAAATTTCCGAAAAATTTCCTTCCGAAAGTAGATGCATTTAGGAATCTTTAAGATCACTTACAACAGAACAGCAATGCATTTTATGGACGACTGTTTCGTGAACCTAGGAGAGGAGGTCATTCTGACTTTGCTATGACAATCTGGCGCTTCTGAATCAGCTACTGTTTTGTTATTAGTTTAAGTATTTGCTATTGACTGTTCAAATGCGAAGTTTTGCGCACCGTGTGTGTGTGTGTGTATGTGAGAGAGAGAGAGAGAGACAGGGTCACAACCGTCTTAACCGTGACTTGTGTACTGCAAACACATACCAGCTTCGTCACTGTGTCTGTCACGCGACTCTGTTCCCCTTTCAGGCTCTGTCTTTACATTTATTTTGAAAGATGAAGCTGGCGATTATGGTAAGGGGCGTTACATTTCCGACTAGTGCTTGCGGTGTTCGGCCAATCACAATGCACTGGGTCAGCTGGCCAATCAGAGCAGACTGCGCTTGTCGGAAGGAGGGACTTTGTAGAAAACGAAGCATTTGAGAGAGGCGGGGCCTAGAGGACCTACAATAATGTACAGTATTTGAAAAATAATGGGTTTTTTGAACATTAAAGCATGTCAACATATTCTGTTACACCAAATACACAAAATAATGATCTTTTAAAAAGCATCATATGACCCCTTTAAGGACACTTGTTATTATGGAGACTCTTGAGAATCTAGATGAGATAAAGAGTTGATCTCATCTTCAGAGACAAAAGGAGGCTGATTAGATGGAACTGAGCATGGCCTTTTATTTAAATTACAACACTAATGATTCAGCTGCATCCTTATAATTGCATTTACTGGAATAAAAGACATTAACTTTGTGTCCTTCCTTTCAACAGGCCATTGCCCTCTCTAATAAACATCATTGAGTATATCACGGCCTGGGCTTATTATGTTACACATCCTCTTTCATAGATTAAAAAAATATATATTTATAAATATTACCATGAAAGCTCTTTTGTTTATTATATTCATTTAAGCGAGCTCGTTTCTCTGATGAGATTGTTTAATATGCTTCCGTGACTGTAGATTAATTGCTGGAAGGGTTCTAGCACTAATTAACAGAAGCAGAGGGAAACAGTAATTAAGAGAACAGTGATATTTTTGTATATTTCAAATCTGTTGGTTTACATCTTGATCCTGACGCAACTTACAAATCAAGATTTTTCGAAGTGCGACTTAAACAGTAAAAATGACCACAGAGAAATCAAGTGTGTAAGATACGACCTGCTTTTTTATAAACATTCACATGCAAACACAAACATGCTCATAGATCCACCCACACTCACATCCATGAAAACACACAAATACAGAGTTCTACAGCCCCAGAAGGCAAAACTGAGATGTTGCCACGGAGATGGCTTACTTTTAGCATGTAGCTGAATAATAATTGGTGAATTGAAGATGTTTATGACTCCCACATCTCTGAAATACACTTGTTACACTTGCCTCTGGAGAATTCACAAACCCTCTTCAGCCTACAAAAGATCGAGGAGGCCTTGTTTACTAGTTCTCTCACACAGGCTCCTTGCACTCAAAAGTCTCAGAGGATAGTCACATTATTTTTAGGAAATGTTAAATCCTCCCTAAAAGGTTGAGAATGATCGATTGGGACAAAATTGCAGAGGCATTCTGTCACATTACTCTCCATAAACACAAATAATATATAGGCCTATATATATATATTTTTTTTTTTTTTAATTAAGAAATTAACAGCTTGAAACAGGAATTTAACAGACCATATAAGAGACAGGTGAAGTATAAATTTATTTAAAATATTACTAATAAAATCAGACTTTCATCTGCCTAATGTGAAGCACATACACACCTGGTATCAAATTGTACAGCTAACAGCGTCCTCTAGTGGCGTATTTGAGAAAGTGCCATACCTTTACTGAAAAAGCTGTGTATTTGGTATATAGCTTTTGTTTGCAGTTTTCATAAATGGCATAATAAGTAACATATTCATCCATTTTAAATATCTATACCAGGGCTGTAACCACAATAGACATTGAGGAGGACAAGCCCCACCAAAAATTACTAATGGACACATTTCTCTCCTACTATTTGATATTGTTGATGCATCTCTGTATGGAATTTGAATGGATTTTTTTAGGCTGGTCTGCCTCAGCGTTCCAATAACGCTCGTCAATGTCAAAATCGCAACTCTTCCGTGAAAGAATGCGAGGTCAAATGTAAGCAGCTTAACGTAATATTTCATAACGGTTTTACAATAGAATTTCAAGTGTTAAACGATCAACAACAACATTCAGTGATGCAAACTACCCAGGTTTTTGAGTTGAAAAGTGTCATTTAATTATTAATTTTATGTGTATGAATATGACTGGCAAGGAACATTTTGCGTTTTCGACATATCAGGCATACGAATAAGAATGATTGTGTGCAAATTTTAAAACAAAAATACAATTTCTTTAAAAAATGGCACCCCCACCAATGTTAAAGAAGTGGTTAAGACCTTGATCTATACCCTGGACCACAAAAAACAATCATAAGGGTCAATTTTTTTAAATTGAGATTTATACATAACATGAAAGCTGAATAAATAAGCTTTCCATTGATGTATGGTTTGTTAGGATGTGACAATATTTGGCTGAGATACAACTATTTGAAAATTTGGAATCTGAGGGTGCAAAAAAATCAAAATATTGAGAAAATCGCCTTTAAAGTTGTCCAAATGAAGTTTTTAGCAATGCGTATTACTAATCAAAAATTAAGTTTTTATATATTTACAGTAGGAAATTGATAAAATATCTTCATGGAACAGGATCTTTACTTAATATCCTTATGAGTTTTGGCATAAAAGAAAAATCTATCATTTTGACCCATACAATGTATTGTTGGTTATTGCTCCAAATATACCTGTGCTACTTATGACTGGTTTTGTGGTCCGGATTCACATATTTGTTAAAGTGCTGACAAAAAAACAAAACAAAAAAATGAAGAATAACTTTCATAGTAGATTGTTTTTCTACAAAAATATAGTCAAATCCATTAATTCCATTAATCTAAACCATTAATTAAATTTTCTATATACTGTGCCTATTAGTAATATCCAATAATAAAATGATCAGTTTACAACTACAGTTAACTATTTGAGTGCAGTTATGTGTCAAAAACATGATAGGTGAAGTTCTGCTGCTGTGGTTTGCAACGGAAGTTGTAGTTGCCGATTTTCCTTTTATGATACATCAATCCTGCAATGGCAGCCAGGGAAAACAGAAACACACCAACACCAAGCAGAATAAATCCAACAGACTGCAGAATATTTGATGTATCTGTTTGGACTGACGTTTTAAGAAAAAGAAAGAGAAAGAAAGATTTTGTCAGTTGATATTATGTCCTAATATACAGGGTATAGTTATTATATGAGCATTCTTTGCATTAAATAAGAAGTATTTACTTGGACGTATTCTCTTTATGGGTCCAACGGAAGCCTTTGTCACTCCAGCTACGTTAGACGACCTGTATGTCTTCATACAAACCTAATGATTTGCAAAAAGATTATATATATTAAATATTCTTGCATTTCTGTTCACATGCTGTCCATTTAATCTATGCGGAAAAGTAAGGAAAAAAAACAACACAATATATTTAAAAGAAATAAAAATACATCATTTGTAAAAGCTATAACACCACAACTACTTAAATATATATACATAAACTCACAGGTCTGCAGGCGCCGTCCTGAATTTCAACACAGATCTGGATCTGGCAGTGCAGGTAGATGACATAAAGATTTACAACTTTGAATATCCGCACTGATAGCAAAGCTACAGTGTCGTTTCCGTTCTGAAGGACAGTTGTGTATGGGTTTGTCACCAGACACCTGAGGAACAGCGAGAGATATGTGAACACATTACACAGCGGGTATCCAATACAGCACAGTCAGATAGGGACACCTGTGAAAAATCTACTTTTAAAGGGATAGTTCACCCAAAAATGAAAATTCTGTCATTAATTACTCACCCTCATGTCGTTTCAAACCCGTAAGACCTTCGTTCATCTTTGGAACACAAATTAAGATATTTTTGATGGAATCTGAGAGCTGTCTGACCCTGCATAGACAGCAACGCAACTGAAATGTTCCCAAGTCCAGAGACGTAGCAAGGAGATCAGTAAAATAATCCATGTGACATCAGGGGTTCAACCGTAATATTATGAAGCTACGAGAATACTTTTTGTGCACAAAAGAAGGAAAAAAACCGACTTTATTCAACAATTCGTCTCCTTCGCATCACCCTGTAGTGCCATTTTGGAGAATATCAGCTGGACGTAAACAGCGTATGCTGTTCTGTGCATTACGCAGAATCTGTTTCCTACGTTGTTGTGATTTGATTTGAAAGCAAACAACGTATCCATGTGACGCAGCTGACACAGAACAGCATACGTTGTTTTACATCCAGCGGATACTCTCCAAAATGGCGCTACAGGGTGACGCGGAGGAGACGAATTGTTGAATAAAGTCGTTATTTTTGTTTTCTTTTGCGCACAAAAAGTATTCTCGTAGCTTCGTAAAATTACAGTTGAACCCCTGATGTCACATGGATTATTTTACAGATCTCCTTGCTACGTCTCTGAACTTGAGAACATTTCAGTTGTGTTGCTGTCTATGCAGCGCCAGACAGCTCTCAGATTCCATCAAAAATATCTTAATTTGTGTTCCGAAGATGAACGAAGGTCTTGCGGGTTTGAAACGACATGAGGGTGAGTAATTAATGACAGAATTTTCATTTTTGGGTGAACTAACCCTTTAAAAGCTCTAGTCAAATGAAAACAGCCAATGCGAAAATGATATTCCCAGACTGAAAGACATTATTCAGCTGCACCCACCCACTATCCTGAAACAGGTAGTAGGGAGACTCTGATGAGTCGCTGCTGGAAGTGGCCCAGCACTTGTCGATGACAACTTTGATTTGGGAGATAGTAGTGTTGACCCCAACCTCTACAATGATTTCATCATCAGGGGAGAGGGTGAAATTGTCAGGTAAAGGAATCGTCCCATTCAGCAGCCGCACAGTAACCTGGAAACTACCCGATCCTGCCACTGGGTCATTGATCATATCAAAATACCTTCAAAAGACAGGGTTTGTTAGTTGTAATCAAAGTGACAAAATCACCCTGAAATCAAAAGAAAGAATTAGAAAATGATATTTCGCTTAAAGGAAATAAAGCCCATTTTTGGGGGTTTTACATTTTTATAAAATCTCATGTTCATTACCGCAATATGAAAATAAGATGCTACAGTACATTATTTAATTGTGTTCATTTTTATATTTTAAACATAATATTTTTTAAATGATTTAAATAAGTTTAAATAAATTAAAATAAAAAGACTTTATTATAGCAAGTATATCCTAATAATTCATCACATAAAATGCTAATGATTTTATTTATATATATTATTTTTATTATTTGTATTATTCATTTTTATATTTTAAAGGTTTACATTTATTATTTATTTATTGTTTTTATTTTATTATTTCATTTAAGCACATTTTTAAAAAGAAAGAAAATGCTGACACTTGTATTCTAATAAAAATAACCATTGAAGACAATGGCAATAACTCTTAAACTAAACTAAACTAAAAAAAAATAAAACAATTTTGATAGTAAGAATTGGGTGGGAAATTGTCATGAAAATAATGTTACAATGTAAAAAACTTAATGGTCTTTATTTTCTTATATATGCAATATATAATTTCTTCCTTTTTCTTTTAATTTTGGTGAAAAATGTGACCTGCAAATGTGAGATTCATCCACTGAAAGCAAAAGTTTCCACTCCTAATTTAAATAATCTGGTCTCAGTTTGATATCTGAGTTTAGGAAAAATGTGTTTGTTGTTTAATGCACGCTGACATAATTAACACTTTAAATTGAGTCTAGATGTCCTTGACGTGACAAGAGATGGCGTATTGAGTAGGAAACCAAGAGAAAAACAAGTTCCATGGAGACAGTTGCTATGGAAGCACAGTACCCTGAGGGGGCGTATCCCGTGGAGATGAGGATGCCTCTGGGGTAAGAGCAAATGACAGGAACTTCCAGACGCACAGAAGAAACATTGCTCACGCTGTTATATAGAGTCACGTTAGCTAAATTATGGGTGCCGTTCTAAAAGACAAAAAACATTGGTTATGTTATCATACAACACACTACATAGACCTAATTTACAGAGTTTAATGATACTGGAGGACTTACGTGCGCTAGTTTAGTACCACACTTTGCCCAAGATGTACTGAGCCACACATGGGATGCATTTCCCCCGCTGAGACCACATTCTGGTTTACCGAGGTACAGGGAACTCTCTTGGATGTAATGGTTGTGCAAGACGTCTCGCTTTATAACGACTGTTACATACCCCGGGATGCACTCAACAGCTACATAGGAGATCAAATGTGGTGGATTGTTTGATGTCCGATAAGCGGAAGTTGTAGTTCTGACAGAGTTCTGTGTCGTAGGTGCAAGTGTTGTTGTAGGAATGTTGGTCGTCACTGTTGTTGGTCTGTTAGTAGCTGTGGAAGTTGAAGACGTTGTTGTGTTGTGCTGAACATGAGTTGAGCTCGCTGTACTGCTCATAGTTGGGTTCCCAAACATGGTGGTGGAAGATGTTGTAGTGCCCGTGGAATCTGAAGGTTCTTCAGGGTAGTTTGTGGTGGGATGAACGGTCACTATTGTAGGTGAAGCTGTGGCCATGAACAGGAAAAAAAAATACAGATGAGAATATTATAACAGGTATATCCAAGTGAATATTATCTGTTATATTCAAGTATATCCAGCTTTTCAAATGAGGAAAAATGTAAGCCAGGACTTGATTTAGTCCATTGAAAATTGATTGGATTGTTGTTGTTTAACAATTGACCGTTCACAAAGAGCTTGATGGACAGGTGATCTGACCAATCATAGCGCGGAATCCGCCATCTTGCCCGGCAAACAGATCAGACAGGAGAGTAGATCAACTTCGGTGGACTTAAACTTGAAAAATGTAGTGTATTTATGTCTTTCTATGGCTGAAATAAAATACTTGATGTTCATTTATGTTTATTTTGTGCTAAATATGTAAATATGAAATGGGATCAATTCACGTCAGGACACATTAAAGAGCCACAAAACAATATTTATTGTTTGAATTTCTTAAAAAAATGACTAAATTTGAAAGCGGAGACCTTGTTTCATACCAGAAGTAACCTGCTCTGTCTTGTCTGTTGGCACGTTGTTTCCTCTTTGCTCACATGTATTTTTTACTGTGTGATAAAATGGTGTAATGTTAAATAAACCATTTTGTGGCTCTTTAATGTGTTGTGACAGATCACTGTATTTCCTCAGTTTATGCATCACATTAACCAATCGTCTTTTCATATTTAGCCTACTTAAAGTACGAAATAAACATGAATAAACATCAGAAGGTATTTTATTTCAACCTTGGAAAGACGTCAATACACAGAATTATTAATATTTAAGTTTAAGTCCATCAAAGTCTGTCTGATTTGTTTGTTTGTTTTTTCGGACAAAATGGCGGATTCTGCGTTATAATTGGTCAGATCGCCTGTCAATCAAGCTCGAGATGTCTTTGTAAGGGTGAGGGGACGTTAATGCTTTTTATTAAACATTATGAGGGCACATTCTTTTTTAACATAAAAATAAGAAATGTTTCTTTTGATTTCATAGTAGCTTAATCATACTTAAACAATATACTTAAAGAAATACTTTATGTTAAAGTGTGAATTTTATATTCAGGTCTGAAATGGTTTTACGTTTTAAGTTTAACGTTCAGAGACTTTAAGTAAGCCAGTGGAAGATTTATTTCCCAAAAACTGTAACTGTGTCTCTGTGACACTATCAAAATATTTATTTTGTTCGTTTGAGCATCTTGATCTGCCAAGCAACAGCAGGATTGTCTCAACCAATGGCATGAGTTTGGGGCGGGGCTATCTGTTTGTGGCAGAAATCTGTTTAAAAGTCATTACTTTTGAAATTTAGTTTGTTGCCATCAGTGGCACAGAAATTACACATCTAGAAATTACTTTTAAAATAGACAAAGACATAAAGGTGAGTAAATGATGTCCAAACTGTGATTTGTAGTCACTATATCTTTAAAAAACAACTTATATGTATCTGTACGTTATCGACTCCTGTTTGTCTCTTAAAGATGTGTGACAGTCTAATGAAATCTCTACAGTAGCGTTCTCTACAGCGTGTACCTGCACAGCTGCGCCCTGGTCTACTGGGGTTCAAGTCTGTGTATCCAGACCAACAGCCACAGATGTATGAGCCAAAAGTGTTATTACAGTAAGCCCATGGAGAGCAGTCCGCCTCATCCAGAAAACACTCATCTGGATCTATAAACGACATGAGACCAATCACATCTCAAGACAACATGTCACATCATGTTGAAACAGTTCCAACATCAAACTTCATATAACGTGTTGTCATTCATTAACTTCAATTCATTATCTCAAAATGAGGCCTGAAAGAGTAACCAGTACCTGCTATGTGTATACTGTCTACTACATATATGGAGCTGTTCTGAAGAGACCCCATCAGAGCACTGCACACGCTTGACATGTTCAAGTTGCTGCCGGGTTGAAATATGATGGAAAAGTTCACGATTACACTGCCGGATGAAAGGGATGTTATCTGGATGATGACCTGTCCAGAGATGACTAGTGCATGTATCTCTGGAGACAAGGACAAAAGAATCTGGAGACACATTTAAAAGAGAATCAACACATTTCTGAGAGTGATCTTGTTTAAGATAAATCATAGATTATGAAATTAAAACTACATTTGATAAAGAAAATGTAAAGGCTTGCTTATGCAATACACTAGGGTGTTGGGAATGGTTTCTAGGGTGTTACTATGCATTTGCTAAGGCATTTTAGTTGGTTGCTAGATGGTTGCTGATTGGTGTAAGTCATGACCATCACCAAGTCTCTATGATATCAATGCAAAGTCTATGTCTATGGGCAGTAATTTGCTAGAAGATTGGAGCGTGTATGTTACATCATGCCTAAAGTATCTTCTTGATACTGTCACGGGTTGCTACTGTGAGGAGCACGGAGTGAGGAACGAGGAGACCAGGAGTACAAAACAAAGGAGTTTAATTCTTTTTTTCAGGGAATCACACGTAGCACAAGGAGTTGACAAAAACATTCAGACAAGGGAGAACAGAACGGGCTAGAACTAAATAGGGCAGATAACGAGGGGCAGACAGGTGATGGGGATAACTAATAACAAGGAACAGGTGATACTATTAATGGGAAAAGGAACTGGAAGGACCAAATAAGGACAACAGGAACTAAATGGGAACATACACGTGACAGATACATTATTACTCATGTGCTTTGATTAATATTGAATCCATCAAACCTCATTTATGACACTGTCACAGAACTCCTTATATTCATTACTGGCTGGGTCTTTCATGGCCTCTGTATAATTTCTGCCTTTCAAGCGGGCTGTAGCTCCAAGAGACTGTCCATCTAAAAAAAAAAGCACAGTATTTGGTAAGCTAAATGTGAACACATTTAATCATGCTGACACCGTAATATACTGGAATCTAATATACTGGGAATCTATAGTCAGCAGTATTACTATAGACTGAATTTTTTGTAGAAATGCCTAAAATTAAACAATAATTATACATTTAGTACTTAATACTAATTAACCTGCTGTTATACTTGCCTGTTCTCACTTTGATCTCTATGGGGTTTCCCTGTTTACCACAGGCAACTGGAGTGACACGTACAGTATGAAGAACCACAGGACTCAGGTCTGTGAATGTCCAATTATAGCTTTTCACGTTCCAGTTTTGTATCTTATTGCTCCCGTTTAGCAGAACCAGGTGAAAGGTGACCCCAATCTGGATGTTGGTTGTCCATGCCACATGGAAGGATGATGCAGTGACATTATAAGAGAGGATACTGATGATCTCAGGTGTGTAGTCTTAACATGGAAAGAAAAGAAAGAAGTTGGCGAGATATATCACAACACTATTTTCAATGCCAAACTAGATGCTACACATGCAGTGTAAGAAAATTAGGGGTTCATAGAACAACAACAACAACAATAAAATTAAATTAAAAAATAAAGACAAAAGTTTTCAAATTCATTTAAAGGATTCACACTATTTTTGCAATAAGTTATTAATCATTATGATTCAGACTGAAGCAATTTAAACAGAATCATTTACAGTAAACTAATCTGTAAATCAGTTTGACTAATTCATAGCCAAGAACAAACTCCAAAGAATGATTGTCTCATAAATCAGACATTACTGTGCTTTGACTGTACTTTTAAGTCATTAAGACTTTGAATTAGTAAGTAAAGATACAAACTAAAAAGTAAAGAGACAAACCACATGTAGAAGATGTTTGGCTGAAGGAAGAGGTTTCAACAGTGGATGTTGAGAAGGTACTCGTTTGTCCTCCATCAGTTTTATTATCTTAAAGGAAAAGACAGGAGCACCAACAAAGTTCAAAGTGATTCCTGATGAAAAAGTGCATTAATTATCATTTTGAATGGGGATAATCAGAAGTTATTCTAGTGTACCTGGTGGAGAGTGAGTAGTCCCGGATGGGGTGGTGGTGGTTGGTGGTGGTAGAGAGTGCGTAGTCCAGGATGGGGTGGTGGTGGTGGTGGTTGGTGGTGGAGGTTGTGTAGTGACACTGGGGGCTTATTAGAAACAGAACACTTGACTGGATCTTGGTCCTCTCAAAATGATGGGGTTTCATGTGGTTAAGAGAGCATTGTTATCATGAACATCCTTTCTTACCCATGCAAACTGTTCCTGGCTGTGAAGGATTGAGGTCAAGACACCCAGGACGGCAGGTGCATGTATAAGACTCTTCTGTATTCGTGCATTTTGCATGTCGAGAACAACTGTTCAACTGCGGGACTGCACATTCATCCACATCTGTGTAGGAAATAATGATGTATGCATGAGGATGTGGATTTATCAAGATAATGGACGTGCTCAAATGACATTATTACATAAAAGTTATTTTTTTATAAAAAAGACCTCTATAGATCAATGGCTCCCAATTAGTTTAGCTTCAGGATCCAAATTGTACATTAGACATCAAGTAATGTCAATGTAATGTCAAGAAATGTCAAGAAATATGTTCTTAAAATCGAATACTGAAATATATGACATTGGTCTTGGCAAACTGAATCATATGAAATGCTTTCATTTCACAATTACAGAAATCAGACATACCTTGCACCACCAAATTAGTCACCTCCTCAATGATTCCCAGTAGATACAGTTTTGTAGAGATGTCTTCTAGTAAGATAACTTTAGAAGAACAAACCAGCAGTGAGGAAGAAGTTGTGAAGGGCCCTGCTGATTTTGACCAGACATGATGCACAGAAATTTGATCAATTCCCAGAGCACCAGTTACCTACAGAAAGACCCAACAGTTACATCACTGCAGAACATACCCACTGCAGATATACAACATATATGGGCTGTGTTTCACTTAGTGAGCTAACTGGACAGCATATTTGGCATCTTAAAGTTTATAAAGCACATAATGCTGTAGGTGAATTATAAACCGATGATTACAAACCACAGAGTGCAGCAGTCTGGTGTGGTTGAAGAGTCCTTTGTTCATGGTAACTAGCTGATAGGTTGTCTTAACTGTTATTGTCACATTGAAGCACCAGGTTCTGTTGACTTGAGGAAAAATTGGCTTTTTAAACTCATTGTATGTTATTTAACAATGTGCCTGCCTATGAGAATTCAGTATGGGTTTGTGTATACCTGATGGTACTGGGTCTGAGCACTGAGAGATGGGGGAGGTGTTTTCGATCAGGCAGCATTTTTGCCACTGAGGACAATCAATGTCCCAGTTGCACACAGAGCAAGAGGAGTTTGAATTATTACACAGAGACCCTGTCGCTCTTGTTGGGGGACACAGTCCTGGCTTGGATGTGAATTCTGCACTTCTGTTCAAGGCTGAGATAATGACAATATCAATAAAAAAGATTAAAGAAGTCTTAACAGTGGTCAACAATGATGTCAATTTTCATGTAGATTAAGACAATCTGCAGCATCCTACTTTCCAGGGACAATTCTATTTCATATTAATTTGTTTGAAAGTACTCACACAAGGCACAGTAACTCCCAACTTGTTCATAGCCATGGCAACATTTCATGACCTGTTTGGGCTTGTCATACACCTGTGTTCGGTATTCAGTCTTATAAACGGTGACATCACACATTGTCCATGGCAGCCAGCCACCACACGGTTTCCTCTGGGTGTACGAGGTTGGATAGGAGACCACAGAGGAGACCACCTCTGACACAGACTCAGTCATATTACACAGATGATAACCTGACAGAGTCCGGTCATATCCTGAAAATGTAAACAGATTAAAAATTGTCGGAAATAGACAAATTCAATCATCTTATAGTTTGCTCCGCGACAAATGGTACCAAAATAAACCATTCTAAAGTTGTAAAGTGTATGTTTTTTGAAGAACTCTCTTATGCTCACCAAGGCTGAATTTATTTGATCGAATAGTAAAAACAGTAATATGGTGCAAGTATTATTATTATTGCAATGCAATTACAACTGTTTTCTATTTGAATATATTTTAAAATGTACTTTATTCCTATGATGGCAAAGTTGAATTTTCAGCAACATTACTCCAGTCTTCAGTGTCACATGATCCTTCTAATATGCTGACTTGGTGCTCAAGAAGCATTTCATATTATTATCAAAATCGGAAACAGTTGTACTGCTTATTTATATATTTTTGCGAAACCATGATATGTTTTTAGTATTCCTTGAGTAATAAAAATGTATTTGAAACAGAAATCTTTTAAAACACTATAGATGTATTTTCTGTCATTTCATACTGTCATTTCTGACCAATTTAATGTATCCTTGCTGAATTTTTTTTTTCTTAAAAACAAATTTAAAAACAAATCTTATTAACCCCAAAATTTTGAACAGTAGTGAATAATACACATATACAATTATATAACATTTAAAATAGATTTATATTTATAGACTTTTATATGAGATATTTATATTTATAGATTTATAACAGCACTGGAAAGAAAAATCACTAATGATCTCAGAGAAAGTAATGAGATTAAACTGAGTGGAAATAGAAATAGGTATTACATTTTTTCTTCAGACTTCAAAAATCTCCTTAAGAGCTTCAAAGAAAACAATATTGCTCAGGTTTGCCAAGATACCAAAGTATGAAATATCAATATGAACTTGAATTTCTCATCAAACTTCTAACAAGTTGTCCAAATTCATTTTATATACTCTTCCTATATGTCTAATTTTAAATGGTAGAAAAACCATCTGAGATAAATTTGATACTTAAATCAAGCACAATTTGAAAACATAAGCAGATTTTTCCTACCTTCAAATAAAGTGTTGTGCCCCATCCCAAGGCCAAGAAGAGATGTGATTAACCAGGTACCAACAACCCAATGCATTTTCATTTACCAAATACTTGCTTCTTTTTTTGAAAAATCATACTAAGCCATTGTGAATGGAACAGGTTACTCTATGAGCTCCACATACACTGTTGGAAGCAAACCCTTGCTGACACCTGCTCCTGTCCCACCTTTCTCTCCAGACGCCATCGACTCCCTTGAGTCTGTTTTATTTTATCTGCTCAGGTGCTACTAAACCAAAAGTCTCCTGTAACATCAGTGGAAAATCAATGGCATTTTAAAAAGCATTTCACTTTCAGCTACTGTATGGTGTAATATGAGATTTTGACACTTTACCCTTTAGTCGGTGAAACTACTGCAGAGCACGCCACGGAGGCAGCCATCAGCGTCGGCGCCATTGTCGCCATTGTCGCCATGAGAATAAAAATTACAGTAAAATGCTGCTGATTATAAAAAAGAATGACTAAACGTGTTTGAAAGTTGTGTCTTACCAGACATTTTAGTATTAACCAGGTACCAACAACCCAATGCATTTTCATTTACCAAATACTTGCTTCTTTTTTTGAAAAATCATACTAAGCCATTGTGAATGGAACAGGTTACTCTATGAGCTCCACATACACTGTTGGAAGCAAACCCTTGCTGACACCTGCTCCTGTCCCACCTTTCTCTCCAGACGCCATCGACTCCCTTGAGTCTGTTTTATTTTATCTGCTCAGGTGCTACTAAACCAAAAGTCTCCTGTAACATCAGTGGAAAATCAATGGCATTTTAAAAAGCATTTCACTTTCAGCTACTGTATGGTGTAATATGAGATTTTGACACTTTACCCTTTAGTCGGTGTTAGACTGGTAGAGGAAATAAAAGTTCATTTTGAGAGGGTTTTGAGAATAAAAATGACAGTAAAATGCTGCTGATTATAAAAAAGAATGACTAAATGTGTTTGAAAGTTGTGTCTTACCAGACATTTTAGTGACGCCATTAAGTTTTATTTCAGATAACGATGAGAAAAGTCCTTAATGATGTTTTTAAGTGTCACCACAGTACCCTTCAGACCCCTTTGCAAACCTCTTAGCTCACAATAGGCAAAGGTTTTTGCTTCGAGACATTTTCTTTCTGGTGAAAATTGCACTGTGACTGAACCAGCGTAGTTGCACATAATGTTCAGTCTTTGAGAACATACTTCAAGCCATAAATACACCGATACACAGACACGCACCCATACGGACACCAGATTATCAGCACCCAGCCTGGCATTTGGTTAAATCTAGCAGCTAATTAATGTGGTGTGAAAAATAGCCTAATTAAAGAATGTCAGTGTTATGCGCTCACTGAGTGACTAATGTGTCCTCATGCAGAGAGCAGGGGAGCATAATGTACCGTGTGCTGAGTTCAACCAGTTATTTGTCAAAGAATAGACTGAGGGAAAGAAAAAAGTGATAAAGAGGGTTTCCAAACATTTTTGAGTTTTCCAGTTGGATATTTAAATTACAGAGAATTCTGGGCAAAATGTTCATTTGCATCTGTTTGAATTAAAGGGATAGTTCACCAAGAAATAAAAATATGCTGAAAATTGACTCAACCTCAAGCCATCCAGTTTGAGGTTTTTTCTTCATCTGAACAGATTTGGAGAAATTTAGCATTAAGTCACTTGCTCATCAATGTATCCTCTGCAGTGAATGGGTGGCGTCAGAATGAGAGTCCAAAGAGTTGATAAAAACATAAAAATAATCCACATGACTTCAGTCCATCAACTGAAGTCTTGTGAAGTGAAAAGCTGCATGTTTGTAATAAATTCATCATTAAGACAGTTTTAATTTTAAAAGCCCACTGTCCATAAAAAAGTCATCTTGTCTGAATCAGGAGAGAACTCGGCTTAGATTAAGCATAGTTTACAAGCAAAATAAAGGGGTTTTATCAGCTGTTTGGAATTTCATTCTGACGGCACCCATTCACTGCAGAGGATACATTGGTGAGCAAGTGATGTAATGCCAAATTTCTTCAAATCTGTTCGGATGAAGAAACAAAATCATCTTACATCTAGATTGGCCAGTACTTTCAGCAGATTTTCCTTTTTGGGTGAACTAATCCTATCCATTAGTCATGGCCTAATGGATAGAGAGTCAGACTTGTAACCCAAAGATCACAGGTTCGAGTCTCAGGTCTGGCAGGAATTGTAGGTGGGGGGAGTGAATGTACAGTGCTCTCTCCACCTTTAATACCATGACTGAGGTGAGACCCTTGAGCAGGTCACCGGAACCCCAACTGCTCCCCGTGTGCCGCTGCCCACTGCTCCAGGTGTGTGTTCACTGCTGTGTGTGTGCACTTGGATGGGTTAAATGCAGAGCACAAATTCTGAGTATGAGACGCCACACGTCACTTCACTAATAGAACGAAACACTTTTGATTGAATGAATTCTGTATGGCATTACTAGAAATATATATATTAAAATGCCAAGATATTTGAACTACCTCTACTAATCCCAATTAAAGTAAAAAAATAAAAATAAAAAAATCCTGATAGCCCCAGGTTTTTTTCTTGACAATGGGAGCCCTGGATATAAGGCATGTCCAAAAAAAAAAAAAGTGATAATGTTGAAACTTGCCTCATGTAATTTCACTTTGATATGAGTTAACCTGGCTGTTCTACAGGTAAACACAATATAGCTTTCCCTTAGGAAGATATAATGAATACAAAGTCCCATGACTCTGTGACAAACCTTATTAATTAAGCATGTCACTTTAATTAGTTTCAGAGGGGAAAGAACCCAGATCTTCTAGAATGATGTGTAATTATTAGTTAATCAGCATGCATCATATACATAATTTAGCACAGAAATATATCATATAAGCAAATGTAAGCATAATTTAAAAAGAACTACGCAGTGTGATCATTTAGATATGCTGCAACTGAAAATTGCTAAATACAATTCTAAGTGCAGCAACAACTAACTATTTTGATAATGAATGTATATGGTTATCAAATGAAAATAATGTTATACAATTCACCAATATTATGTATTTTAAAAATCACATTGTTAAAACACATTGTCTATACGCTGTGTGCAAAAACAATACTTTTTGTTTTTGTAAACCTATCATTAAATACAGTGGATGAAATAATAAATACTTCCAGGGGGGAAATAACATTGTCTTTAGAAGTACTGATTTCTATATGTAACGTTATACTTAATGACAAAAAGCTTGCTATCTGTTTAACAAGTGTGTGCATACGTGCGAACTCATCTCCACTGTTTATCAGTCCGTCATCCTCCGTGAACGCCCACAGCTTATCCAGCAGCCAATCAGAGAGCAGCACACGTGACGAGCGTTCTTAGCGATGACCTCATCCCTAGAGTGGGATGACGTCAAATACAAGATGGATGGAATCACGACTGCTTCACGCTCAACGCAACTCTGAAACAAAGTCCAGTGTCGGAGCTCCGGGGCATCCAAAGCCACCGAACTAGGGTGAGTTGAAATCGTGAACAACTTTATTTCGTCGTCTAATTGAAGTAGTTGAATGTTGTTTGGGTAAAATCAGCCTTTCCTGACGTAACGCCGAGGAGATTTTCTCGCGCGCTCTCTCTCTCTCTCTCTTTCCTGACAGAAGCGGCTGCTCTCAGTCTGTTGTGCAGGATGCGACGTCTGCGCAGTCGGTGACAGGAGAGGCTGTGTGTGCGCAGACGCGTGTTCTAATCGTTTCATTTCCTATCTTGTGAATAGTCGAGTGAAGAAACGCAACCGCTTGCCTGTATTTTGTGACTTGTTTGCTGATATGGTCACAGTTTGGCAACGGTGATTCAACAAATGGTTTAATTGAAATGGAGCTCGAGATTAAAAGGAAGGAATATGCAGCGAAATCATTTCAGTTGAAATATAAATATACTCACGCCTCGTTTTAATGAGCGAATAGTCTCTCTAGGCAGCGTAAAACC